CGCAGGGGACAGCTGCACCCGTGCTCCGGTGGCCGCAGCAGCCCCGGGGCGCGCTGCTCCCGGGGTCCCGCCCACAGCCCGTGCCTCCGATCGCCCACCACGCGGGGCTGGCCAAGCCGCCTGGTACCCTCCGGGTAGCCCACGCGACAGCCAAGCCCGGCTGGAGAGAGCACCACCGAGGACAGTGGACTCCGAAGGACGCCTGCCTTCACGTTGGCTCCATCCACCAAGATGGTGCTGTGTGAAGGGGGCTGGGTTGCTGCATTGCCTTCTGATCTGGAGAGACATGGGTGACCAACGGGCGGGCCACATTTAGAAGATTTAATCTAAAAAAAATATATATATATATATATCATGTGTAAACTACGTTAGGTTGAGTATGTTAATTTCGCATATTACAAATGTGACTTGCGCTACACTTCTTTCGGGCATTTCTACCTGAAAGCATTAAGATGGATGTGACTGGAGAAGACCGGAAAGGCCTACAAACAGATGATAGAACCTGTTTGTAAATGATACAGTCACAAGGTTTTATCAAGACCATTCTGCAGAATCTTACAGCACGGACTTTAAATGGCTCAAGGCAGGGCCCATGTGACAGGTGCTCTTTTAATAGGCATGAACTCGCTGCTAAATGTCATTCGTTGTAAATACATGTTGGAAATCAAAGAAAGAACTGTCAGGGGAGGCACGTGTCAATGGCTGCTTGCCGTAAATTATAATGTGATATATGTTTTTAAAAATCTACCCTGAGCTGGGAGCCAAGACAAGTGGTTGTCTGTGGGAGGGAGGTTAGAGACTCATGAAACTGGCCGAGGAGCAGGAAGTGCAGGATAGAGAGGAGACTGGGCTAGACCTTCATTCGGGAACAGGCATAGACCGCATTCTAGGAGCGCTAACCGGATGTGTGGGAGCGACGTGGGAGCGAACGGACCAGAATGTCTGTCCTCAGCCCCAGAGCAGGACCAGGGGTTCTCACTTACGCACCATGAGATGTGCTAATCAGTGTAAGCCCACACAACATCTCAGAGTGGCTGTACTGGTAAAGGTCCATTTACAATGTGCTGTGAGTTGGCCGAGACCGGTGGAGGAGGTCTGCTCTTTGCACTCATGAAAGGGACCAGGCGCCTTTCCTCTAGTGTTTCCACTATCTCAAGTGGCCTTAGAGTCATACCGTCTTATGGGTAAGGCACAAGAAGAGAGCTGTGGCTGCATTATCAGTAGTACTAGGGGCCGATTCTGGAAATGTTGTACTTGATTTTCCTTGTTACTGAAATTCATGCATCTACTTACATGGCCACAAGGAAACCTAGGGTGGCTGTGACACGAAGTGTGTATGCCTGGTAGACTCTATGCTTCTGATGCTTGGTGTTAAACTGAACATACCGGAATGCCTATCTGAAAAGCCTGTTAGGAGAAGCTGGTAAACGTTCTAACAGCCGCCATGCTCATTCCCCCCTGGGAGTAGGGGCACTGTGAGATACCACCTACCATCCTACATCCTAAAAGAAGCAAAATCGGTTTAAATCTAATGAAGTGGGGCACTAATAGTCAATGAATGTCTATTTTATGCCAAGACACTATCTTAAATATTGCAATTATATTTTGCTTTGACTGTTCCACCTCTTAACAATCAATCAACAAATCCTGTCAAATGTAGCTATTACCTCCACATCAGTTCAGGGGCATGGAGTGAAAGTAGAATGTACACACACACACACACACACACACACACAAAAGAGCCCTGGTCTACCTTCTGATCTGGTGCACCTGTCACTGGGACGGTGTCTTAATATCTCTCACCATAATTACATGGAAGTCCAAACACCGTGCCACATTGCAGGGGGTACCTAAGTATGTGGAGAAGAGCAAGCAGAAGTCCCCACCTTTTAAAGAATTTCTGTCGGAAGGGTTTGGAGATCGGCTTTGGAGGTGGGATGGAAAAAGGGCGTTGCAGACCGTGCAGAGGGTGCTAATGAACGTGCTGGTGGTATGGGACGTTCACAGACATAGGGATGTCCCTCTAGAGCAGAAAAGAAACAAAGTAGGAAGCTGGAGGGGTGGGTCAAGGGCTTTATTTTAATTTGCTGTGTCGGGATATCTATCTGAGTCACTATCCATGTGTTTATATGGGAATTATGTATCTCATGGTTCTTAGTATGTCCTTATTATTATTATGGTTCTTATTATTTAGAACCTGATAGCCCTAGCTTGCCTTTTGATGGAACTCTGTTTTAAAAAAAAAAAATGGATGAATTTTCCTACAGTTGGATTCTAATACGTGGAACACAGACTTTCTTGGAATGCAGCAGTTCTTCCTGAGCACAGGCGGAGGTTCTCAGTTCTCAGGAAAACTTGCAAATGTCTTAGGAGAGCAGTCTTTGTGTGTCAGCCCTGGATCCTCCATCTTTGTGTGTCAACCCTGGATCCTCCATCTCTGTGTGTCAGCCCATAAGTATTCAGCAGTGGGAAAATTTACAAATTCTTGGTGCCTCTGCTCCTCCACCCCTCAAGTCCAAAGATTCTAGTCTAGAACAGAATCTTTGAGCAATGTCTTTGTTACTTCTCAGTCTTCCTTGGCAATTCTCACGTCAGCCACAGCTGGAGTCACTTCTCTCTTAGGAAGCAAAGACACAAATAAGTAAACATTAAAAAACATCACAGGGATATAGAAACAGGAAAAGCATAGGGACATAGAAAATAGGTTTTAAAACCAAAAAACAAACAAACAAAAAAACGCATGCTTTGATTTCAAACACTTTTAAACCTCTTGCAAAGCCCAGATAGTACGGTTAGAATTGTGCCATAATAATATCAATCCAGGAGAAACAGAGGGGGCTCAGTGTAGAGTGCTTGGTGAGCATGCGAGAAACCCTGGGCTCCATATTCAATCCTACCCCACCCAAACAAAATAAACAAACAAAGGAAAAAAGCCTGGAAAGGAAAGCCTGGTCAGCTCCTTGTTAGTTGTCTAGAAGCACTTGGCATTGTTTGCCAGTGGTAACAAGGTTGAGATTTAGGCTGGGCAGTGACGAGGAAATCGATAGTCTCGGGGTGCCCGGGGTCAGGGTAAGGACAACTGTCCATGGTTTCCTATGCTCTGGTCCAGGAAGAGAGTGGGGAGGGAGGCTGGTCTATGGGAGCGGGCATCCACATGCTCAGGGTCGATTGCGTCTGACCCTATTAGTTTTCTTTTCCCTTAACGTCTTAAAGATGAAGCTACATAAAATATGGAGGCAAAAACAGGACCTGGTCTTCAAGGGGAAGTTCATATCCTCCATTTTTCTAACCAATACACCTGTTTACAGTTCAAGACTGACCTTACACCACCTACGTAGGTCATGACCTGGTGTTGCTTTGGAACTATACTCTAGGTTATTCAGAGAAGTTTCAGCTCTATTCAAATTGGTTGGTTTGTTTCTATTTAAACTGGGATTTTTCGGTCAGCATCTGAGGCTGCCTTAGCGGTCGCTCCTCTCCTTACCTGACCCCAGCCAACGAAACACCACTATTTCTCACGTTCTCGGCTGACGGCAGTTTCCTCCTACTTCTGTGCACATGGAATCAGTCAAACCGATTTTGCCCCAATCAGCCCCAAAGCCCTACTCTAGCTCCTTTTGATAGGTATCCTGTGTTGCCCATGAGGGCTTCAGTCCATTCTTAGCCTGTGGACCTTCCCTGTTTTGTCTTGGTTTAGGGTTTTTTGTTTATCTCCTTCAGTGCGCATAGCTAGAAACCATTTACTAGAAAAAGAGAAGTTTCTGACTCTGTGAATTCTCACATACAGTACTTATCTATCCCACCATTTTGTCATCCAGACACAAAGGGGGTCCAGTTTTTCTTTCATTCTGACCAGACCCTCTAGAGAGGCATACTGACTATTACCAGATTCCACAAAGAGTGACACAAACTTGAAAAAGATGAGCTGACACACAAGTGTCCCTTCGCTGTTTTCAGGAAGGATTCTGTCTTATTGTCAACTCCTAGCCCCCTTTACCCCTCCCTTTAGACACCACTGCCAGCTACACCTTCCGGAAGGCACTCGACCTCAGAGCCGGTTTTTAAGACATCACATGGCCTGACAATGGTAACATGGGGTTTTAGAGCAGAGCCTCTTGGGCGCCCTGGTAATTTTCTTATTGCTTCCTAACACCTTTGCTATTTCAGAGGAGCAAATGTTAGAACACTGTGAGCTCCTTCTGCAACAGGCCTTTCTACAGATTCAAGAAGGTATTTTTGTCTTTGTTTTATTTTGTTTTCCTTTACCCTGACTTTCACTGAGCTAGCTTTATTCTGTAGGATCGAACTGTGATTCAAATTCATGGAGGGGTCACAGGGAGCAGCTGAGGTTGCCCACCATGAGAGGCCAGGACACTGCTCAACACAAAGCCTGAGTTGAAATAGAAGCCCCAGGATTGAAGGGATTATGGAGAGAAGTTGAGGCTTGGCACCATGTAGCAGGGTCAGAGTACCAGAAGAGAGCCCAGGGCAGGCTACTGGTAGGTGCAGTTACAGTGGAGACCCCCAAAATTTTGGAGGTGTCCACACCGTGGGATGACTGCCAAGGAAAGCAGAAGCTGTGGAGAAGAGCCAGCCTGAGCCAAGGAGGCAAGCTGTGTGTGTGTTCTGTGGGTGGCCACCCAAACCCTTCGGAACCCAGAGGATCACGAGTGAGCCCCTGGAGTCTCACCCTGGGCTTCACACTGATGGAGCTTGGTTTTGCTTTGGTTTGATTGCGACTGTGTCCCCCATTCTCCCCTCTGGGAGTAAGAAAGCATGTAACTTATTTTACAGGACCCCACAATT